CGGTGTCGTCCCGCGGGTGTCGGCCCGCGGGTGTCGGCCCGCCGGTGTCGGCCCGCCGGTGTCGGCCCGCCGGTGTCGGCCCGCCGGTGTCGGCCCGCCGGTGTCGGCCCGCCGGTGCAGACGGGAGCGGCAGCGCGTGGCAAACCCCGCGCGGGGGAAGCTCAGATGCCGCCTCCCTTCCCCAAGCGGAACCGGGGTGAAGTGGGAGAGCGCAGGCTGGAGTCAGCGGGAAGCAAGCAGGGCAAGGAAGGGACGCTTGGATTTTGATGAGCTTGTGGAAAGGAAGAGGGGAAATGAGCTGGYGAACAGGAGTCCCGGGCGCGCGTGAGGAAGCAGCTCCAGAGCGTGTCGGACACCACAACRCGGAGCTCTGAGGGACCTGCTGAAGAGGCCCGAAGAGGAGCGAGCAGCCTCTGAAGAAAGTCAGCTTGACCAGGAGCCGTTTCTGGTTATTTAAGAATGAAATTCCGTTTGTTTGGGACAAGATTTGTGAAAACCTTTGTTGCCAGTTTGATCCTGTCTCCGCACCTGAGCAGCTCCCAGCCTGTTGTCTCCGTTACAGCGTCCTGCAGGCTGCATTCAGCCTGTGTATTCCATAGATTATTCCAGTGTGTAGGGATGTAACAGGAGGTGACAGCTCCATGGCCTGGGAAGCTGTCTGGCAGGCTGACTTTGGCACGAGAGCACTATTTCACAATCCTGAGAAATTGTAACTTGGGGGGAAAAAGTTAATCACTTTGTCCGTGAGTCACCAGCAARTCTGACCGTGCCTTGTTGCTCCGAGGGAAGGACGAGTCTCTGAAGTGGCCCAGGGCACTAATGTTAGCGATGGATTGTTTCCAGTCTGACTGAAGAGGCTTCGGGATCAGCTACAGAGCGGAGTTAGGCAGGCGATAGGAGGAATAGATACAGTCGTGGTGATGCCCTCAAGAAAAGGGACTAGGAACCCTGTTAGATGTCATCGTGAAGCTGCATGTGCCAGCATACTGCGGCTATAAGGTGTGGATGTAAAGGAGCTCAGAAGAACGTAAGACAGAGGGGCGGAAGAGGCAGTTTTGGTGTCTTTCTATTAGTGGTTTCTGCCTCACGTTAAACCACTGTCCCTCACTTACAAGGCAAATGGGTAGACAGAGTGATACTGATTTTTCCTTAATATTGCAGCAGCTGTGGAACATAGACCTGGCACTTCTCGTGGAAGAGATCTGCAGATGTGTTTTCTCCCAAGCATTTATTGTAGGACAGAGCCAAGCTTGCTGCCTTTTTTTTTTTTTTCCCCCTACTCTTATAATAAATTGGTCCTGAATAAATAAAATTTACTGTTTCTGTCTCAGCCTAGACCAATACTCTAGGTTTACGTTTATCTCTTCTTCATAAAGCTTCCAGGAAAAGGTTAATGTGCAGAGGGGAGCCAGTGCTGCTTAATATTTTATTAGTAATTAACGTTCTATTAACCAGGTTCTTCCCTTTTCCTGCAGTTATCACAGATCAAACACACATGCTGAGGATCATGGTGCAAAGGCCCTTGAACATACGGAGCTGAGTCTGTTGTGCTCAGTTCAGGTYAGGGCCGGTTCTCCCGGAATCACATCCCGGGAGGAATCATGCCCCTGATAGAAGGGCGCCAGCACTGAAACCAGGCTGAGCCCTGTGGGGCTCGGGAGGGCTCTGGAGTCTGCCCCGTGTTCCCTTCCTTCCTTCCCAAACYGGGAGCAGGGCAGCCGCTCGGTGCCGGAGCGAGCGAGCTCGGCCAGACCCAGGCGTCCTGGAGCCCATAGGTACCGACTGTATCTATGATTTGTATTGACTGTGTGCATGTAGTGACTGCACATTGATACCTGAAAAGCCAGGTAGGAGGATACAGTAAACACATCAGGAAGCYTGGATGGTTCAGCTGCCAAGGTACCAATCCCAGAATCACCCCTCGTTCTCACAATACAAAATGTTCGTGGGAGGTATTTTCTTCTATAGGACTTAATTCTGTAGACTGCATGATGGTCTCCAAGGTTTCATTGGCCCTTAATGTTCATGTTGGCCTCTTATGTGCATCCCCAAATATTATTTTGGTGTTTAAGATCAGTTATATCCCATATTGCCGTTTCTGGTGAAGCTGAACCACTACAGTTTGTACAAGTGCACAGACTTTACAGGCAGTACAAACGCAGTTTGTACACAAATCCTGTTCAGAAGCTGAAGATCTGACTGAAATGGTTTTGCCTCTTGTCTTGACTACTGGCTGAGAGTACTTTGAGCTGCTGYTGTTCCAATCCAGAGTTAACTGTGTTTTAGTCGTAATTGAAGTGGTATTTTGGTATAACTTGTAAAGAGCTTTCAGGGCTGATGCCAATGGAAGCTATAATGATACCATTGAGGGAAGAAACCAGAATATCTTGAGGTCTGGTTGACTTCTAATGAATGTTATGCTGAGTTAGAGGTGCAGTCAATGATTATGTGGGTTTTAAATGAAAGGTCACCAGGGGGTGAAATTCCTTTCTCGCTGAAGGCAATAGGAATTCTGCCATTGAGGGAAAATCTGCCCTTCAGGAGTTCAGAGGCTCCACAGCCTTAAACAAACAGAACAGGTGCTGTATGTTGGATTTCGTGACCTAAGGAGTAAACATATTGAAACATCTTTTCATTGTGTCTAGTACCCTTGAGTCTCTCATTYATAGTAAATTTTAATGAATGGCCTTTAGAAATCTCTTCCCTCTTAAAGAGAAACATCAGCATGAGAAGGTGAGAACAGCAGGCGCTACAGCTGGAGAACAAATACACCTACAGGAAAGTATCCTGGAAGGAAGGAAGCGAAGAGCAGGGTAGTCTCCAACAAACTTCTGCCATCTCCGTTAACACGCGTTAGGGAATTAATATGCCAGTAGTCTGGAGCAKGAGAGGGATGGGTCCCAGCTCTGTTCCTGGTCTTTTGGGGAAAAGCAAAATCCTTCTAGGATGGTCTGTCTCTTTGCAAGACTGATGGCTCCTCTTCTCTCTGGCAGGGCAATTGCACGCTGGCAGGATGCTCGCTGTCTGGTGAGTCCTATCACACAGTCATGCAGGGAAGAAGCAGCGGGTGGAGTGAGCTCTGTGTTTCTCTGGGTGCCTCTCTTGCCCAGTCTAAACGCTGCTGAGCCACTCGGTCAGAGTGAAGGTTGCACGGGCAGCAGCAGGGTGTATTCCAAGCGTTGCACTGATTGAAACATGCTGGCTCAGGGAATAGCTCTCTAATAATTCTTGGAAAACGATAGGTGAATGTTAAATCAAACAGAGCGTACCTTTGAACTGCTCTTCTGTGCTTAAAATGGATTTCCCCCCAAACTTTTTTTTTTTTAATTAGCAATACTGTTTTTATATGGTACTACACTCGATCCTGCTTTGAGGAGCAGATTAAAACTAGTTAACTTTTCCAGTTGTTAGAATAGCAGCATATGCTCTTTAATTGGGGATGGTCTCAAAGTTAGAGCACTTTTTTTTAATAAATAAATAAATAAAAAGAAAGAAAGCGGGGGGTCAAGTGGGAAAGTGGTTCTCCTGCAAGGTTTATGTAATTGAGATAATTATATTCTCTGATTGCCGTGCTGACTCCCCTGCAGATCAGTTTGGAAACGTGCCCAGTGCCCTTACAGGAGCAAAGGACAGGAGTTCAGAGTGTGATACAAGTGGCAGTGTGAGGGCACAGGAGCAGGGTGGGAAGGGGCTGGGGCTACGTGAAGCTCTGAGGCCAAATCTCTTCTGTCTGARTTTTGAAAGAGAAACGTCCCTGGGCCGGGGAGTGGACAGAGGAGAGAGATGAGGGCAGCTGCTACTCTGCCCTACACCCCATTTTCAGTGTGTTTTTTCCTCCTTTGCTGTTCACATGCTCTGGGGGTGGACAGGGGTGTCCTTAGTGCTCTTTATCCCRTGTAAGGACCATTGGGGACTGCACGGCCGGATAACGGTCCTGTGGGTAACGCTGTTCTCCTTTGCAGGTGTGGCTGGGAACCAGGGGCTGGCTTACACCAACAGCAGGAAGCTTGTGTAAGTATYCACTTGGGTAGGAGCTGCTCTAGGCTTGGTAAGTTCCAGGTTTGGGAGGTAGGCTTGGTTCAGCCGTCGTGAAATCCCTGGGCGCATCATAGGAGCTTGAAGCTAGCCCTAGCAAAATTAAACTCTTCTTGAACTTGGAAATTGAGTCAAGGAAGGGATAGAAATGAAGAGACAGGTGATAAATTGATCTTCATTCTTTACCTGACTGCAAATCTTGATTGTTCTAGTATTTAATCATGRCCTCCAAGCAGGAATTCTGTTGCATGTGTTAAAATGGGATCTTCTGTAGAAGTGGGATGACTCAGGCAACTTATATTCACGTGGCAAAATTTGCATTACAGAAGTTGTCAAGATACTTCTCCAAATAAAATCTTTTCTCCTCTCTTCTCCTTGAGAGCATGAGATGCTACAGTGTTTGGTTCAAGTGTTGGTAGTCTGTGTTACCACACAGCAGCAATCAGAACGATCCTGTGTTACAACACAGGAGATCAAAAGCATTGCTTTTGGAAGCATTGCAAGTGAAAAGTTTCCAGCAGGTGCAAAGAACATCCTTTGTGATGTTTGGGATTGCCGTTCCCTGGGAAGACCTATTTTGGAGCGAAGTAGCTGATTCCTGGAGGGGTTGCCATCGTTTGCAAGCGTTTGTGTTGCTTTCTGCTTTTGGAATAGTCTAGCAACTCCTGCAGAGATGACAGTCCCTATCAAGAGGCTAAAAAATTGTTACAGTTGATGTTAGGTGTAGGATGGGCTGGCTGTACCTTACAGCAAATGTAAGGTGTGCTTGAGGGGGGCGTTGGCAGCCCCCAGGGGAACGTGCATTTTCTTCTGCGTCCAACTCTTTCCCTTTCTCTTTGCAGAGTAAATAGCTCCAGCGTYTTCACTGTTCGCTACTTCAGAACCACTGCGGTACATAGTAAGTAAGGAGTCAGTGGGATGACTCCTGTGCTACTTTTTACTRTCCTGATAGAGGCTGAAGTTTCCATCCTTGGTCTAGTCTCTCCAAGGTCCCTCCTCAACGGGTGGCCGAGGGTTTATGTCCCTCGGCCATAAAGCTTTTGTCTGGCATTCCTGCAGCAGTGCAACTTCAATCRGATGTGAATTTCTCTTATGTTTAAATGTTAATCAATGTTGAAACAAAGAAAAAGCCAGCRTTTTATTTTTGTTGACCACCCCCTTCCAGGAGAGTCCTGGTAAAAAAACTGAAGCAGGGTGTGTGTTTTGAGCTCTGACTGCATTCCAGGCTGTCTGTCTGTCAATCTCTCACAGGGGATGACGTGGTTACAGTGAACACACCAGCCTTTGCAGAGTCAGTCACAGAAGGAGATGTCAGGTGGGAGAAAGGTAGGTAGCTGTTTCCTGGCTGTCGTTCTCAGCACCACTGCAGCTGCCCTGGGTTACTGGGAGACTGCTGTGGGTTAATGGGGGAGGCCAGAGCATGCCGCCCTCCTCACAGTGCTCTCCTATCTGTCATTCAGCTGTTGGAGACACAGTGGCGGAAGATGAAGTGGTGTGTGAGATYGAAACAGACAAGGTAGGCGTTTTCTGGACCAAAACTTTCTCTGGTTCCCTAGCGAGTAGCCTGTATGGCTCCTCTCAGCCTGAGAGCTCCCAGAGCCTGCAGGCCCTGCCTGTGTCTCCTGCCCCGCTCGTGGAGGAAAGCTGTTCTCGTTTAGTGGGAATGCTGGCTGTGCATTAAGTGAGAGTTCGTCTCTGAACTCTCCTCATATATTTGATGGCGCTTATGTTTGTGCAAGATGCAGTTCCAGTTTGTACAACCTTCCAGTTCAGGGGCTGTAAGCTGGGAAACCCATTTGTTTTTAAACAGGAGAAAACCACAGCGCCAGAAGCCATCTTCATGTTGTTTTAAAGTTAGCCTGTACGTTTATTTACCACCCAAAGGCACCTTAAGCTGTAAAGTTCTTTSCTAAAGCTCCCTGCCAAGTTCTCTTCCCAGTGCTGCTGTCAGGAAGATGCTGGCAGCAAGTCAGTTCTGCATTGTGCCCTGGAGCAGGAAGATCAGGCTACACATCTCACTGCCAGCTCCCAAAACTTCCAAGTGTTGGCACAAAAACACAGAAAACCTGGTGGAGGGTGTGAAAACTGGTGGAAATGGTGTGAGACGGAGCTACTGACAGTGCCAGATTGCAGTGCACACCTGTGCATGCTGGCACCTTCTCTTGGCACTTTCTTGCATGCAGTGCCTGGGGGCGGGATTCACAGATTTTCCTTTTTGCAGACATCAGTGCAAGTTCCAGCCCCAGCAGCTGGTGTGATTGAAGCCCTTCTGGTACCCGATGGTGGCAAGGTGGAAGGGGGCACACCTCTCTTCAAACTCAGGAAAACTGGAGGTGAGTCAGAAACGTAGAATTAGCCCCGGCTTTCTTGTTTCCTCCAGGCCTTTTCTGAAGATAGAAGCAAGGTGTTTGGGGGAATCCTGAAGCAGGCTGCATGTGTTCTCCATCTGTCTCTGCAGTTGGAGTCATGGAATCATATTCCTTTGCTCATTAGAGAAGTGTATTTTTAGTTGATGTAATGGGGAACTTTCCATTTGTTGCTTCTGGAGGAGAGTGGGGGGCACTAAGCTAGAACTAATTTTTGAGAATTCCCTTGATACAACTCTCTGTTCTAGCTGTTTTTCTTCAGTATCCAGTTTCCCGCACAGTAAGGAGACTTTGTGAGTTGATGAAATAAAACCAGGAGGTGTAGGCTCCATTGTGTATGGTTATCAGCAGATGTGCCATCAGAAAGTCACTTCCTGAAATATCCAAGCTCTCCAACAACAGCTAGGAGCAAAGCAGGAAGAATGAGGAACAGTTTGCCATATGTGCACAAATGAAATGGGGAAAATTAAATATGAACAAAGTGAGCTGTAAAACTCAGTGCACTTTTTTTGCCTGTGCCTGTGTGGTATTAATGGTTTCTGCAAGCTCCAACATGTTCCAGTATGCTAAAGGGAGTGACACGTGTCAGTGTCTCGCTTTCACCATGGTGTCCTCTTATGGTGGCTCCAGTCAGTTCCATAGTGCTGAACACCTAAAGACATCCTGATGTCAGAGGGTCAACTTTCACCCTCTGGTGGAAGGACTCGGGATCCCTGACAGTAGGGGATCTAGTTGCACCTTGTGGCAGCGCTTGCAAGGGTTTTTCCTCCTTGTCTTTCAGCTGCTCCTGCCAAGGCCAAACCAGCGGCAGCTCCTCCTCCTCCTGCAGCCCCTGAACCTGCAGCCGCTGCTGCTCCCGCCGCTGCGGCGGCACCAATTCCTACCACCATGCCACCAGTGCCCCCAGTGTCAGCTCAGCCCATGGACAGCAAGCCAGGTGAGGCAACAAGCATCTGAGGGTTTCCTCCTTAGGGAGGGTATGCAGAGTTACAGGTAGCAAACAGATGTGGGTTCATGGTGAAGGCCTCCCTGTGTTACTGCTCTGTGTGCTTTGGACTGGAGAACTTAGCTGTGCGTGGGACCTACCCAGCCCAGGTCAAGGCTGCTCACACGTGGTGGTGCCCGAGTAAAGGGTTCGAATGGATCATGTACCCCAGGGTGTCGTGGTCAGGTTTGGGCTCTTCTGTGGTTGCTGCCTTTTGACAGATGTGTTCTTTACTCTCAGTGTCTGCGGTGAAGCCGGCTGCAGCTCCAGTGGCAGCGCCTCCTGGGGAGGCAGTGCCCAGCAAAGGTGCCAGATCAGAGCATAGGGTAAGCTGCAGGAATAGGGGCCTCACCAACTGCTGGGTAACAACTTGTTCCGGGGTAAAACTTGGGTTTTCTGGGTATGTCCACATCTACATGCCCACATCCAACTCAATGGGACTGTGACAGGTGGGGAGATGCTCCATGTGAGCGTACCAGTTAGGGGGTAGGGTGGAGGAGGAGCCAACTCCGACTCGATGCAGGTCATTTTGAGACAGAGGGTTTGTCTTGAGCTCTGGTGACTGAGTGCAGGGGGTTCAGGGTGTTCTGCTCGGTCTGTCTCCAGCCCTTAGCAAAGGGCTGGGGCTGCTGCACCTGCCTAACGCGTTCAAAGAATGTGGCTGAGCAGCTTAGAGTAAGCAGTGCTAAGAGTATCTCCTACTGACTGTTCTTAGTCTTGTGCTGGAACCTACCTATGCCTGGAGTTCCTAGGACTATATGTCTGAAGTAACTCTACCTCTGTCTGATTAAGCTCTTCCTTTCAAGGGAGCTGTCTCTTGAGCTTAATGGCTCTGTAGTAAAATCAGTTCCTCAGCCTGTCTCTGTCAGGAAGACCTGGAGTGAAAACAGTCCTAGACACCCATTGCTAGTCAGCCAGGTGGGAAGAGAAGCCCTCTGACAGGGTGGGAAGAGAGGCCCTTGTGCTTTTCATTCCTTGAATGATCTTGAGGAACTTTCTGCTCTTTTGTGCAGGTGAAGATGAACAGGATGCGTCAGCGCATTGCTCAGCGCCTGAAAGAGGCTCAAAACACTTGTGCCATGCTGACCACTTTCAATGAAATCGATATGAGGTGAGCATCAGACCTCTTCTCCCTTTTACTGGTAGAAAGAGATACAGGCAGACATCTTAAATAAAGCCAGGAGCTTGCTCATTCTCCTTGGGGAAACTGGCACGATGTTTTTGGGCCCCTCAGACACGTACTGCTTCTGTGCAGCTCAATCGAGGTGTGTTGGTGTTGCAGGGTGAGGGTTGTTTAACTTCCTAATGCCCTGTCCCTCCTAGGGTGTCTTGCACTGCTCATAGAAGTGAGCAACCTCATTCCTCGAATGTGCAGCTCTTGCCTGAGGCCTGCAGAGTGCCGAGCAGAAGAGCAAGTGTGATTGGTGTCACCTGTGTCCTGGCTGCTCAGAGACACCCACATTAGCACCTGCTTTCTGCCACCCTCCAGGTTACTGCTTGTGGAGGCAGGCCTAGCTGGTTCCCTGATTTCCTCAGCCCTTTGGGTGAGCTGTGCACAGCCCTGAGGCCTCTCTTTGCAGCTTTCCTGAGGCCGAGCAGCCTCCCTCGCTGTTCCCTGCGTGCGGCTCGGGGGCTCCTTGCACTCAAGTGCTTGCAAGGACTGAGCGCACTAATGGCTTCGGAGGGCGGGCAGCTTATGTTACAGTGCATTAAGGGGAAATTGTGCCCAAATCAAATTGCCCTGTGAAATCCTAGTCTGCTCCTTAAGACAAAACATGTAAATATTTGGGTCTCAGAACAATAAGGTTGGCAAAATAGTCTTGATGGGAGGGGAAGTGCTGCAGCTTTATCTCCTCTCGGAGGCTTATTTTGGTGTCGCTTTACGCTGGCCGTGGGCTCTCGTTGCATCTGATCATCTGTTTTGCATCGATTGCTGCGCTGTTGACTCGGGAGGGCCTGTGCTGGGGCCTCGTGCTCCCCCCGGGGGTCAGTGTCTGAAAGGAGGAAGCCGTAATGAGCCTGTCTCATAGCAAACCTCGTCCTCTTTGCTGCAGCCCCTGCGTCTTGGGAGGCACTAATGTCTTTGGGCAGTAATCCTAGCCCTAAACAAGGTTAGGCACAGGAAAACAAACACTTTAAATCATGGAAAACCCTGCCCCTTGCTGAAACTCTCTTCAAAGACTTTAGGTCTCAGAGGGGGGGAGGGCTGGACAGTACAATTCCACAGCACCTGGTATTAGCCCAGAATAGACAGAACTCGTAGCCACAGGGTTTTCTATAAACATCTGCAGTCTGATAAACAAGCAGGGGGGAAACACTGCTGCGCTTGAGGACTGTGGGTCCCCTCTCCATAGCCACGAGGAGGGTTTCTTTCATGGTCACCGTACTCCCAAAGCCAGAGGCCTTGGGGTGCCAGAGGCCCTGAGGTGCCAGCCACCGTTGGACTCGCGTGGTGGTGAAGCCTTTTGCCCACCCGGTCACCACCTCCAGCTTCTCTGCCCTTAGTATTTCCCCTGTTCTCTCTCTGCCGGGGCTGCCCAGCCGTGCAGGCGCCTGGCTGCATCAGTGTTGCTGTCTGTGGTGCCGTGCTGGTATCGGTGGCAGAGGCTTCAGGGAGTCACTGAGCACCTCTGCAACGTCAGGTGTACGCAGGAAATAAGTCACAGCCCATCTTGGTCTTGTGCCTGGCAGCGTGGCCATGCAGTTACCCTTGTCCTGCTGCACTTGTGGGGCTGTGCCCATTCCTGCGCATCACTTGGCAGGGGCCTTAGAGCCTCTCTCAGCCTGTTCCATCTCAGCCTGTGTTTTGGAGGATTTTCCAGCAGGATGGGAATTTGATGGTGGTGCTCTGCATCCTTGGAGCTGGCGCTGAAGTTCCTTACAAAACAAGTGACCAGTCTTTCCTTGGACTCTCTGGTGACCTGTGTTGTCACGTGTTTTGCAGTAACATTCGGGAGATGAGAGCCCAGCACAAGGATCCCTTCCTGAAGAAGCACAACCTGAAGCTGGGTTTCATGTCGGCATTTGTGAAAGCTGCAGCTTTTGCTCTGCAAGACCAGCCTGTTGTGAATGCAGGTGGGCAGTGGCCCTTGCTGGGGATTTGGGAACCTCTCTGGTGGGTGTTGGCCAAGCCCAGAGCTTTGTCCCAGGGGACAAAGTGCTGTGGGCTGCAGCTGATGCTGCTAATGCCACTTACAAAGGCAGAAGACAGCATGCCAAGGGGGGCACTGTTAGCAAGGGAGTGAGGATGGTGGGTCAAGAGCTCTGTGTAACTTGGTGTTTGCCCAGCCTGTAGCAGGCCAAGCCCTGCTGGGGAGCATGGGAGAAGCTGGGGATGTCCTGCAGTTCCTGGGGTGTCTGAGGGAAGCAGCCAGGGCAGTGGCTGAGGGGACTCAACTCATTGGCCAGCCTTTCCTCTTTCTCCATCCTGGCACTTTTCCCACAGGGGCAGCAAGGACTTGCTTTCCTCTGGAGCTCTCTTTAAGCTAGAGATGAGCAAATTTTTATGAGTCTGTGACTACTTCTGGCCTGCTGAGCTTTTGTTCTTGGGTACTCTGTGAGTAACACAGCCTCTTTCCTCTCCTAGTGATCGACGATACGACCAAAGAGATTGTGTACAGGGACTACGTGGACATCAGTGTCGCAGTAGCGACTCCTCGTGTGAGTACATGCCTTGGTCCTGCTTCCTGCAGCCCCAGCTCGGGATGGACACATGTCCTGAGGCACCAGGAACGTGCCCAGGGTCTTCCTGAACATGCTGTCTGGGGAGGCTGATACCCCGAGGGCCCCTGAAGGGGGTTGGTTTGAAGATGGAGGCCTGTGAATATTGTGCCAGCATCCTAGGAGATGCAGTGACAAAGCTAATGTAGATCCTAATTGCTAGTGGGAAAGCTGAAGTTAGGGATTTTTTTTTTTTCTTGGAGCTGTGGGAATCTGGTATAGACTGAGAAAGCTTTGTATGTGCTGCCGTTTGGTTGGCCCTGCTGTACTGTGGCACCATATCTGTAAAATATGTTGCTGCTTCAACAAGCTGTTCCTTGTCGGGGAGCTCAGGGAATGGAGCTATGGACTCCACTCTTCTTGTGGGGAGAGAGGTGGCAGCCCAGCCCTGCCCGGGGCCTCCCCAGAGCTTGCAGAGGTGGAGCTGGCTTCCAGACAGACCCAGCTGATTCGAGGTGCTGGGTGCCCGGGCCAAGAGGTCAGTGTTGGACCCCTCTCGCTGCCCGTGCTGGCCCTTTGTGCACGTGATGCCGGCTTGCCCGGCAGGCTGCCAGGCTGAGGCAGCTGTGCCAGCCCCTGCTCGGGGTCGAGCAGCAGGCAGGAACTCGCTGAGCCAGGACCAGGCTCCTGCCCACTGACGGTTACCCCGGCTCGTCACTGCAGACCATTTGCTGATGGTGCCCTTTGCTTCCTCTTAGGGTCTGGTGGTGCCTGTCGTTAGGAATGTAGAAAACATGAACTTTGCCGACATAGAACGTGCTATCCATGAGCTGGGGGAGAAGGTAAGAAAAGACAGGGTTGTTTTTGTAAAGGGCTTGGAGGAATGGAGGGAATTGAGGCTGCTGGAAGTGCATGAACTAGTTCAGTCCCTCTGTGGCGCCGTCTCTGATCTCTAGCACGCTGAACTATGGTGTGGGATGTGATCCATTAATGCTGGAGCCCTGTCCCTGCCTTCCAGGACAGAGCTACCTACTTGCAGCCCTTCCAGGGGTCCTCCCATGCTGCTCTAGTGCTGTAGGGTGTCTGTCTTGGCTTTGGAGGCCAAGGCTGAGCAGTCCTGGGATGGAAGTCCCTGTGTCTGCTCCTGCAAAAGCAAGAGTGGGAAACTAGGGCAACAGAATCCTGCCCGAAATACAAAGTAATTTTTCAGTTTTAAAGACAGGATGCATTTCAGAATAATTCATTCAGATGAGCAGATTAGCAAGTGCAGTAAGTTATTGCCAGAGGGGGTGAACATCCCAGCCATTGTACTTTGCCTTCTGTGACTTGTCAGAGCAGCTTGCTAAGACCTTACTCTTCCAGGCACGGAAGAACGAGCTGGCCATCGAAGACATGGATGGCGGCACTTTCACCATCAGCAACGGCGGGGTTTTTGGGTCCCTCTTTGGGACCCCTATCATTAACCCGCCCCAGTCGGCCATCTTGGGCATGCACGCCATCTTCGACAGGCCCGTGGCTGTTGGAGGCAAAGTAAGTGGGGGTTCGGAGAGGGGAGGGCTCGGGGGGTGAGGGCTGCGCTCTGTATGCTCTTGCCATGGGCTGGTGCCACCTCCTGAAGGGCTGTCCGGTGGGAGCTGAGGCAAATGCATGAAGAGCAGCTGTGCCGGCAGCGGGGCTTGCGTGAGGGTGCAGGGGGCCTTGTCCTGTCCCAAGGCGGGGAGCTGGGTGATCTGCTTGGGTTTGGGGAGGAGGAGGTGCCGGGGTTCACTTCATGGTGGAGAACAGACCCCAAAGGGTGCAGACCTGGCCGGGGCAGGTGCTCAGCTCCTGGGTGAATGTGGGTGCGCGGTGCCCAGCTAAGACCCACCTAAGAGACCATCCTTCTGGGGCGGGGGAGAACCAAAACAGCCGAGTCTCCCCCGGCGGCGGGCGGCAGGGCCGGGCTCAGCGCCCCTCTCGCTCCTCCCCGCAGGTGGAGGTGCGGCCCATGATGTACGTGGCGCTCACCTACGACCACCGGCTCATTGACGGCAGAGAGGCCGTCACTTTCCTGCGCAAGGTCAAGGCGGCGGTGGAGGATCCCCGCGTGCTGCTGCTCGACCTCTAGGGCGGCCCGGCCCCCACGCCAGCCACCCCGGCCAGGGCAGGGCCAGGGGCCACGCGGGCCGCTCGGGAACTGGCAGCGGTCATTCCAGCCTCCCTCCCCTGTGACTGGACGTATCCCAGAGGGAATCCTGGGGATAGCTCCTACCTCCTTTCCTGTTCTGCTTAAAGAAGGGTCAGTTCCTCACAAGCACTGCTATACAGTGGCCCGACTACTGAATGGCACTGCCTTTCCAGGGCCAGCTGTAAGGCATCCTCTCCCTCACAGCACCAAACTGTCACCTCTAGCTTGTCCTTCACCACTGGAAACCGCTCGCTGCTGCTGTGCTAGGGTATCTTTCCCTGCCCCTCCGAGGCAGGTTCAGCTTTATCTCCTAGTACTGAGGTTCCTGGGAGGGAGAGGAGAGGAAAGGCTGCTACTGCTCCGTCCCTCTCTTGCTTGAAACTACTTCACGCTCACGGGTGCCGCAGGAGCAGCGTGGGGAGGCCCTGGCCGCAGCGGGGCCGGGGTGGGTGCCCCACGCTGCGCGCTTACACTCCCCCTGCAGACAGGAACACGGCGCTCGCAGCCCCCTGTTCCCTCGGGGCTCTCACAGCCGCGTGGGCAGGGGCTGGGGTCCCTGTGGAGGTAGCGCTGTCCCCAGGGCCACAAGCCCTTCACTGGGACGTGTCCAGCACTGGGGAAGGCACGGCCCCCTGCAGCTGTCCTGGAATCCCGGCTCGCTGCCGGTGCACGGAGCTGTTGGCCGCCCGCGTGCCAAGGCTCGGGCTGCTGCCGGCAGGGAGCCGGCCGGGATGGGCCACGTCCTTAAGGGAATGTGTGTATCCCAGGCCCGGGGGGCTGGGGTGGGGGGTGGGGGGGCAGTCCTTAATCCAATAGCGCACATATGATATGTATTGGGGAGTGAGGGGGGTGCTAGTGCCTGCAGAGTCTATACCCTCGACACAACTTGTAACTAAAGTATTTAACACGGCGGATTTTAAATGAAATAAAACTGGGCAACGATTGAGAGGTGCGTGTGTTTGAGCAGGCAAGGTCCTCAGCAGCAGCCCTAGCTTAGCGCAAAGAGCCTGTTATGTGGTGGTGAGAGAAGAGGAAACAGGAGCGGGGTGTTTCCCGGGATGCTACTGAACTGAGGCACTTCTGGTTCTGAAGACTCTTGCTTTTAAACTCTCTTGGCACTGAATGGCCTCTTCCCAGTAAGAAGGCTTTTTAGCACTGGAAAGAATCCTTTTCTTGTTCTGGTACTAGGGGCAGCAGGGAAGTCCCAGCACTTACTATATGGGCTGGTAGCCAAAAGGAAGAGCCAGAAGAGGCTGGTTCAGTTATGGAGCTGAAACCAGGTCAGTATATCCTGATAAAAACAGAAGTTCATTAACTATAAATCATAAATGGGGCGGAGGGGGGATGAGGATGTGAACTATGCAAAGAGAAAGGAGGTATAGAGGGAAAAATCAAAAGTAAAGGAACAAGTGGCTCTGGCTGCTGTGTGGTGCTGAGCCCGTTTCCCAAAGGAGTGGTGCTCGTTCTTAGAACAATAAGAAATAATCCCTGGAGTGGGGTAGGGTTTTTCCAGCCCTGTCACCAACTTCAGGGAAGGGTTTGCACTTCCCACTTCCCAGTGAAGGCAGCTGCTCCTAACAAACAAAGGTGGTGATGCTGAAGACTGGGAATGAGGATTTCCTAGCAGTGGTGCCTTCCCCTTCCTGGCAGCTCTGGCCCATCAGGGTCTTTGGACATCCCCTGATCTGTGCAGGATTAGACTGAGGGGAAAGACTTAAAGAGGAAAATTGTCCCATGCTGCAGAGAAAGAGGTTTTAGCTGCTCTTGCACAAAGACACTGAGTTAGAGCGTGTTGCTGGTAGAGTGCTACTTGTAGCCCTCTCTACCAGGCACGTTTAGAACAGAGGGCCCCCGTCCCTGCCGTGAGCTGGTGTGGGGAAGGCCCTGCTGGATTCTGGCTGGAGCTCCAGTACCGCACGAGGCCTGTGGACCAGGCCCAGGAAGGGACGGTCTGGCCCTTCAGAGGAGGCAGCAGAGCCAGCTGCCCTGGCCTGTCCTCATGGAGCTCGATGCAGGGGCTGCTCTGCCCGAGACTCTCCGGCCCCCCAGGCAAAGGGCCGGGTCCTGGTCGTGCAGAGCCGGGCGTGGGGGCAAGGACGGTCCCGTGGGGACGCCCAGGAGTCACGGCCTGCACGGCACCTTGGGACAAGCACCACGCGTCCTGGCCCGCTGTGTCCAGCTTCCTTCCGCACGGGTGGCTCTTCCCTGCTCCCCATCCTGCTGCTCTCAAAGGTGGGTGCCGCCTTTGCCCACCTGGAGCCGCCTCTTCTGGGCTCTGCTTCCCTCTGGTGGCCGCAGAGCCGAGGGGAGGTGACACGGAGCTGGGCCAGCACAGAGCAGCTGCAGCCCTGGGGTCTGTGAGTGCAATCAGGCTGGTTAATATTTGCAGGAAGGGTGTTCAAGCCGTGGGAATGGGGCAGGGAAGGCAAGAAGTAACAGGAGGACTTTGCTGTGCCCATTCCTTCCTACCTTCTTGGTCTCTCTGAGCCCAGTGTCCTGAGCTCATGAGCATTTCCTTCAGCTTCCAGCTACTCTCAGTGCAACACTGACTGCAGAGGCCAGTGTCAGCTCTTCTGCTCACCCTTTTCTGCCCTCCTGCATTCCCTTTGTCCTTCTTGCTGGTTAAGCAACACTCCTCCCACTTGCACTTTCCCATCGTTGATCCCATGGAGCCCCTGCTGAGTGTAGTGCAAGGAGCCCCGGTGCTCGGCCCACAGCACCCCCAGCGAGACCCCCCTGCCCCCCTGGTAGCAGAAGGGGCACCAAGAACAGCGGCACAAGGGGCCACCAGGAGCCTGGAGACCCAACGGGGGCCACATAAAAGGGAATGTTGGAATGAATTACAGGCCCTGCAGCCTTTGCCAAGGAAACTCCATCCTCGTGCAGGAGCCAAATCCTTTCCTGCACTCAGGCTTGAAGCAGGCGGGGATGGGGGACACCGGCCTGGTCTGACCGAGGGCAGGGGGCAGCAGCTGGCAGTGGGGCTGGGCACAAGGGCTCGAGGCTGCAGCCCCCGGCACCTCCATCCGTCCCTGGCAGCGGGAGCTCCCTGTTCCCCCTCTTTGCAGCCAGCAGAGCTCCAGCCCCAGCCCAGGGCAGCCGGGCAGGGCTAAGATCCCGACCCGGGACCTGCTGGCTGTGGCCAGCTCCCTAAGCCAGGAACAAACACACACATGGCAGCAGCGACACGTGCTTTATTCTTTCCAGTCAGCCACCAAGGAAACACAGCGGGTCACTCCTTTCCCCCGCTTCCAGCTCCCTGCAGCAGGAATTACTCACACACATGCAGCCAGTCAATGGCACGAGGGACAGGCTTGGGGACCAGCCCGCAGGGCTCAGAGGAAGTGCACGTGGAAGCCACAGAAAGGAATGGCGGGATCAACTCAGGTAGTGGCAGCGATAAAAGCCCGAGGAGAGGAGTCCCAGAGCACCAAGGCAGGCAGAGGAAGGGACACGGGGGCCTGGCAGGAAGCCCCAGGAGGAGAGCGTGGCTTCTCCCTGGGGTCAGGAAGGGGGGCGCACATAAAGAAAAGAGCCTGGCCCTGCTCACAGATGCTAACAAACACAAGCAGCGCTGAAGGGCATTGAAGGCTGCCGAACTCATGCCCCCCCTCCCCACCCCGCGCAGCCCTTGCAGCCCCAACCTCCCCCGCAGCCTGGGCCGCCTCTGCCCGCGGGCTTCACGGGTTCCCGGTGGCAGCTGCCCCACGGGGAGGGTCCCCGCGGCCCTGGCCCTGCTCCGCTGCCGCCCGCCCTGCCTAGCCCCCCAGCTGGTGCCACTGGATGGTGCTGAAGAAGGAATGGGACTTGAGCTTGGCCAGGCCACCGCCTCCCGAGCCCAAACGCCGCCTCGGGCTGTGCTGCAGCAGCTGCGGAGAAAGGGACAGGGCAGCGGGATGAGAAGGGGGGACACGGGAAAGCAGCTCCCCCCAGCACCCAGCCGCCTCACCTGGGTGAGCAGGGATGCGGCTGCCAGGCTGAGGCCATCGGGCAGGCAGAGCTGCGTGTGAGGCTGAATCCCTGACGGGTGGTTTTGGGACAGGGGCTGCAGGAGGCAGAGGGCGACGGTGAGAAAAGGCACCGAGCAGGGTACGAACATCCTGCTCACCCAAGCCCAGCCTATCATGGTAGAACTTAACATCCCAGCCCAGACGGGCGCTCTCCCAGTACGGGTCCCACCACAAGTACCGCGCAGCTCATCTGCCTCTTACCACTCCTGTCAGCAGCTCGTACAGCAGAGACCCAAAGCTCCAGCAGTCGGCAGCTTCAGTCAGCTCAGAGATGCCCCCCACTTCTGCAGGGAGAGCCAGAGGAAAACGAGAGCTTGGTGGCAGGAGGGCACCTGGGCACCAAGACCCATGGCGCTTGTGAGGCTGGTCTCACCATGGGCAGGAGCCCCCGGCCCAGGGGGCCCAGGGCAGTGGGGAGGGTCAGGACAGGCCTCCCTTACCCGGGGCACTGTAGAGCTCCTCGAGCGCCTGGCTGCTGCACCGCGGCTCCACCTCTGTCCACTGCCCAAAGAAGGTAAGGCGGACGTGACCTGCAAGGCACGAGCGGGAGGTGAGCACGAAACCAGGCTCTCCAGCAGGAACACGACCCCGAGCCACGTCCCCTTCCAGTGGGAGCCAGGGACACGGCTAGGGATAGCCAGGGTGCTGGGCCCTGCGCCTGGAGCAGCTGTGCTCCCCACAGCGGCCACCAGTGTCCCAGCTGGACACAGAGTCCATGCAGCCGGTGGCTCTGCTCAGGGGGTGCGAGCTCCCGGCCCCGGGCAGACCGCAGAGAGCAGAGGCAGGGCCAGGGCGCGAGGGGCGAGCGCCGGCTCGGCCCGGAGCCTGCCCCGGTCCGGGTCTCGCACGCAGAGGCTTTCACAGATGGCCACAGCTGCAGGCTTGAGGGCAAGGGCGGCCTCGGGAACTCCCAAGAGGGCAGGAACTCCAGGCAGCGGCAAGCTGCGTTGTCACTAACCTCACACATGGTTTAGCTGCTGTAAGGCTCCCTGTGCTGGAATTTCCCGGGCAAACAGACCCCGCCATGGGAGCAGAAGTATCGCATTCCTGTGGCTATGGCCCCTATTCTCCCTCTGCAGAGACATCTCTTGCAATAATCTCTTGCAAACCCCACACAGGCCACACTTCCATGCTCAGAGACATCTCAACCGCCCCAGGCTGCCTCCCTCCCCCAAGGCAGGCTCCAGGGAGTTCAAGTCTCCTGGAAATGGGGCCGCCAGGAGTGTCCCAGCCACCGGGCCTCCCTCCTCCCGAGGGCCGCGGCCCTGGGCACTACCTACCCGCGGCGTCAAGCAGCAAGTTCCTGGGGTTGAGGTCCCGGCACAAGACGCCCTGCTGGTGCAGTCCCTCCAAGGCCAGGAGGATCTCAGCCGCCCACAGCCGGACCTGCTCCTCCGTCACGGCCCAGGCTCGCTGGCCGTGGCCACGGGCACCCACAGACCGGCACCGTCCCGGCGCTGGGGGGCCGCCGGCCGCACTCGCCCCCCACGCGGGCTCCCCGCGGGGGCTGCCCGAGCCGTGCAGGGCAATTCCTGCACGGAGCTGCGCCCGTGCCGGCGCAGCCAGGCGGGCCTGCGCCCGGCCGAGCTGAGCCTGCCCCGGGTGGCCTCCTCCCGGCACCGTCTTGGGCACGGGGGGAGGCCTTTCACCAGCCAGCGGGCCGGGGTCCCGCCGGGGGGCTGCTCTCTGGGGCACAGCGCCTGCACCCTCGCCGCGGCTCGGCGAGTCCCAGGGGTGCGGGAGCCGGCCCTGCTCGTTGGAGGGGCTGGCGGCTCCGGCTGCTGGAGCGCAGTCCACGGCGCCAGGCAGAGCCTGCGGCGCGCTTAAGCCCTGCCCTCCGGCTGCGGCCTTGGTGCTGCCCGCAGGAGCCAAGAGAAGCTGGAAGTGATTCCCGGGTCCGGGCTCCGCGCTGGCCGGGGCCTCCTCCCGAGGGGCAGAGGGGTCAGGCCTCCCCACCAGGCCCCGGCTCGTCCTGCCGGTCCCAGCAGCGCAGCTGCAGTCTCTATCGCTCCCGCGGAAGCTTCCCTCTGCCTGCTCTGCGCCAGGGTCCCTCGGGGCTGGAATGGGTGTGGAATGCAGCATGCCAGGGCCCTCAGAGGGACCCTGCTGGACACGGTACTTGGAGCGGAGGTGAGACCACAGCATCTCTCCTGCAAAGTGAGAAGAAAAAGCGCTGGGTAGAAGGCATGCCAGGATCCCGCTGTGGGCACTGCCCATTCAGGCACAGGCCACGGCCTACACACTTTGTATTTCGCTAGGCCTTACTTTTTTCTGAAGAAAACCAGGAGTTCATGCAGACTATCCCCAAATGCTGCAAAAACCAGTCACTGAACTCCATATTACCTGGCGACCCAGCACAGGAGCAGCTCACCCCCCTCTCCTTCAGCAGCCTTTTGCTGCCCCTTCTGCAGACCCTCACTGATCCACATCATGCCACAGTCCAGCCACATATTCCCACACGTCCCCGATCCCGCAGCCATTCCCACTCTCCCGCAAGAGCCTTTGCCCCCTGCACCCCGGCAGCAGCAGCGCTGGCAGGTAGGGCCCGCAGCTCAGCAGGAAGCCCCGGGTCAGGGCTGAGCCAGAGCTCCCGGCCAGCCCGCACTCCCGCTCACACAAGGGGCCCTCTCGTTAAGCTCGGCTGCTTTCTGCAAGCTCATCGCACAGCAGCGCGCGAGCAGCCGAGCACACGTCAGTGCCTGTCGCTAATGGACTTCACCTGCTGCTTCCTGCCCACACACTCCTCTGGCAGGGAGCAAAGAAGCTCCTCACTCAAAACCAGCTTTCCCTTCTCACTCTTCTTTACCCAGAACCCTATATTCTCCCTAGCCTTTATGCCCTAATTCACCATCTCTTCTTCGGTCTGGCCTTAGAAATCTAGTGTGATCTCTTCCTTTTTAATCAATTACAATGAATGCCTGAACTCCCTCACCTGGATCTTCTTTTCCATCACCTTGCTGACACAGCCCAACTGTGCCAGCAAGAAAGAGATGCTTTTTCTTTCCAAAAAGCCTTTGCTGGTTTGCTTGCATCCTGTCTCTGCCCGCCTGGCCAGAAGATGCCAGACCACACGACCTTCCCTACAGGTATGATTTTATTATGACACCCTCAGGACTCAGTGAGGCTAAAGTCAGTTTCCACGTTTGCTTCCTCCTACCACAAGCCTCCCTCTCCTTCTAGGGCTCCATTTCTAGCTTACTTGCTCAGCTCTTATTGACACTTCTGAAACCTCACTCAAGTTTAGTGGCTCCTTCCAGCCACCTTTGTGAGGAGGAGCACTTGTACTGTCACTATAGAAGGCAGTCCTCAACCAGCAGGAGAAACGTATTTGAGATCAAAGGAAATGGAGGTTGACAGCAGAAGGCTGTGAGGACAGCAAGCACGTAGCACAAAGCACTCACCCTGCACATGCTCCAGGTGCAGGAAGATGGAGTCCTCACTCGCGTAGTAGCGCAGCAGCTTGACCATGAAGGGGACTCCATGAGGAATGATGGTCTGACGCTCGCGAGTCTCCACATGGGATTTGGGGAGGCTCTAGGGAGGTAGATGGAGGTGCCCTTACGTCAGGTTAGGTGCTTGGGCTCCTTGGAACCTAGCACTATGAGGGTAGGAGGCCAGCTGGAAAGATCTGTTGGTAAGTGCTCTCTGAGAAGCCCCATGGCTGTCCTCCCCACGTCACTCACAACACCTCCACCTGGGAGAGCTGTAGCTCACGCTGAGACAAGTCTCCCAGGTCCCCAGTACCTCGGGCCCCAAGGGCCCACTTGTGGATCTCCACCCCCAGCAATGGGGAGCTCTGCAAAAGCTCTGCCAGGGCACAACACTCCACCTGCAAGCCACAGTGCTGCTCCAGAGCGGTGCCCATGCCCCACAGCTGCACCAACCCAAACTTCAGCTCAACAAACTACTTCAAACCGGCGCCCTGTACATTCCCTGTGGAACTGACACTTCTCCCTGTCACGTCACAGCCTCCTTGTCCAGTTACTGGAGTCCTTCAGTTTGAGCTGGCCTAAATGCACTGCGAGTAACACGGGCATGAGGCTTGGGTTGCACCGTTACAAGGTTGAGGCCCACCAGAGGAACAGAGGGAACACGGCTCTGGCTTGAAGGAAGGAGGTGAGCTGCTTCCCCTCTCAGGAGATGGACAAGGGACACAACTGAACAAAAATACAGCAGATCCACAGAGGGCTTAGAGGAAATGATGCTCCTAAAAGCCTTCCTTTGTTGAGTCACATTTAAAAGGAGCTAAACAGTATTCCCCACTCAGCATTACGGGATAGAAGGCATCTCCCCGCCAGGGTTACCCAAAAGAGATAAAGACAGAGGAGCTGTGAAGCTGGCCACACTCACCTTAAGTATAAAGGTCCCACCAGTGGCTGGATCTTGGACTATCTGCACCTATGGGCAGTATACACAGGACAGGTCAAGAGTGGTAACTGTGGTAACATCCCAACTCACAGCCTAGAGTAATAGCCCAGATTTACTTCTGGAAATAGATTAAACTCCTCCTAACAACCAGAATTTGCTGCTGTTCAAACCCCTATTCTTGAAATACCAAGCATAGAGTTAGCCAAGAAGTCAGGGATTAGAGACTTAACCAAGGAGGTGACCACCACACCATTTTTGCTCCCTTCACCAAGGAACTATTCCCCCTGCTCTTTCTGGGCTCCGTATGCCGTGCCGACTTGCCCGCTTGGGCCTCAGCAGGCTGTGAGAAATACCTTAGTCCTGACAAGGTATTTCTTTGTAAGAAATTTGTATTCCAATATATATACCAACATATATTTCATATATATATATATATTGGAAATACCAATACAACTGTCACACATGACAGTTGTCCTGTCACGTGTGATGCATGAAAGGGAGCATCTCTACATGCATGGAGAAGGTAAGCCTGGCATCTTCACTCCAAGACCATGAACTATCAACTAGTTTATCTGTGTAGAAAGCTTGTCTTCTGCAGAAGTCCTGACTGTTCATAGATATCTACCATCACAGTATCTAGACATCAAGATTCATTCTCTACATTGGAAAGGAATGGAGGTGTCAGCTTCTCTGCAAGTATCTTGAGAGCTTTAAGAACCACTAGTAATAGGGACATCAACAGACTTCTCATCTGACAAAGGGACTCCTGGCATCCCCTGATGGTCTTCCCTGGTGGGAATGATTTGGATGGAAGCCCTCCTGCTTCTTCATGAGCACAATCAAGGGCAGTCACCTGCATCCAAGCTGGTTCAGGCTACAGCTGGCTTGGTCCAGCTCCCACCTCACCGCCTCCTAGTTGCAGACACAGTCATTACCTTATCAATCACTCCCACAACCTTGCACCGTCTCAGGTTCTCCACGGCCGAGCTTAGCGTCCTAATGGGCCGGAAGCGAAGGCTGCTGTAACCCTGCAAGAGAAAATTAAAATAAAATAAAATAAAATAAAATAAAATAAAATAAAATAAAATAAAATAAAATAAAATAAAATAAAATAAAATAAAATAAAATAAAATAAAATAAAATGAGGCACCTAGAGATGTTAGGGTAGTTGCCATTCCTTCATCCTCCTCCTCACTAGCCCTTCCTCAGGCCCTTGCCCTGTCCTGCCTGGGTCTCCTGTCCCTCCACTTCCCATCGGGTCCCGCAATGGTGTGTGAGCTGCAGTTATCTCTGCTGAACACAGCTTGTTTTCCATCCAGATGGGAACAATGAGAGGAAGAAAATATTATGAACATCTAATAAGACAGATGCCCCTGTTGGTTTCCGTCCCATCAAAATGTCCACATTTTTACTAGGAAGAATGATGACAGAAAGCTAAACACCACACCTGCGGGAGTGCTGGAAATGCCATGGGCGAGCCGGACACAGCTCGGCCCTTCACGGCAGACAAGGAAAAGCGCTGCCACCGGGACCCCGGAGCGCAGCGACACTCTGCAGCTGCCACACAGGTCACCTTCTGCACCCCATCCCGTACAAAGGGCATCTGGCCGCTTGTTCACAGCTGGTTGAGAAGGTTCCTCACCACTATGTGTCATCACCCTGAGGTGTCTCACCACCAGGTTTCCCCAGACCATGGGGCCATTGCAATTACACCCCGGCAGTTCCATATCCCTTGGGCTCAGAATGCCGCCCGCACCTCCCCGCGACCCAGCTCTCCCATGCACAGCAGACACAGGGTTCCTGTACGGGCTCTGTGAGCACCAGCCTGTGCTGGTCTGGCCTCCCCCTGGCCTTGGCCAGCGCAGCCCCGAGCCGCCCCATAGAGCCACGGAGGCCACGTGCAGCCCCTCACCGTGTCCGTGGGGCTGCCCTCGCCCAGGCTCCGCTGCAGGTGGCAGGTGAAGATCTCCTCGGCGCGCTTCAGGTACTGCGTTATCTTCCTCTTCACGGCCTCGCGACGCTCCTTATTGGGGTCCACTGCCGGAGACAGCGCAGGCGCCCGTCGGGGGCCTCCCCGGTGCTGCCATCCCCACCACCACCCCATGGGCCACCCCACACCGAGGCCCCAGCCTGGTCCGGTGGTCATGCTGCGCACCCTGCACACCGTGCACGCCATGCACCGTGCACCATGCAACTGTGCCGCGCACCCTGCACGCCGTGCACCCTGCACACCATGCACACCCTGCACACGGCTCACACTGTGCACCATGCACACCCTGCACCATGCAACTGTGCCGCGCACCCTGCACGCCGTGCACTCTGCACACTGCGCACCATGCACACCCTGCACACCGTGCATCATGCAACCGCGCTGTGTGCCCTGTACACCCTGCACGCCGTGCACTCTGCACTCTGCACACTGCGCACCCTGCACACCGTGCATCATGCAAGTGCGCTGTGCACCCTGTACACCCTGCACGCCGTGCACCATGCACACTCTGCATACCGTGCACCTTGCACACTCTGCACACCGTGCACACCGCGCTGCACACCCTGCATGCCGTGCACCCTGCACACTGCGCACCATGCACACCTTGCACACCGTGCATCCTGCAACTGCGCCGTGCACCCTGCATACCCTGCACGCCGTCCACCGTGCACACTCTGCATACCGTGCACCTTGCACACTCTGCCGTGCACACCGTGCATCCTGCACACCCTGCAGCACACCGTGCTGCACACCCTGCATGCCGTGCACCCTGCACACCGCGCACCATGCACACCATGCACCACCTGCACCATGCAACTGTGCCATGCACCCTGCACACTGTGCACCCTGCACACTGCATACCATGCACACCCTGCATGCCGTGCACCCTACACACCGCGCACCATGCACGCCGTGCACCATGCAACTGTGCCACGCACCATGCACGCCGTGCACCGTGCACACCGCGCCGTGCACCGTGCGCACCCTGCACGCCGCGCACCCTGCCCGCCGCGCACCCTGCCCGTGCCCGCGCGCCCCGCGCGCACCCTGCACGCCGCGCAGCAGCACGTCCACGCCGTTCTGGTAGTGCTTGAAGGCCTCCTCGTAGTCCTCGCTCACGTCGCGCTCCAGCGCCAGGCGCAGCTGCCGCGCCGCCTCC